CAAACACTACTGTAAGACTTATCCTTGAACGTGACAAATAAATTATTTTCATAGGTTGTTTGAAAATCAACACTACATGCAGTATGGTATCCTAATAATAAAACAGTGGGATATTCCGTGAAAGTGTTGATTTCAAGGTTTAAGTTTTAAACAGCTGTAAATGTGTTGTAATCTTACATATTACTAATTGTGACTGGAGGTGTTCTTGTGGAATGAGTTCTGCCGGCGTACAAACTGAACATATGAAATTAATTAAAGGTGCCCCTATGGTTGGGGATTTACGAGGGGAAAATATCAGGTATACAATAAAAATTGAGAAATTCAACCGATTCACTATAATATAACACAGATTTATACAGTTCTTCGTGCCCACGCCTTGAACGTAGCCTCGACGGATCAGCGGGTAGACTTTTGTTTTAGAAATTCACGAAACAAACAACAGTACTACACGCTGCAATTACTATATCTGTTACGATAGTGGTTGTCACCTATCACATTGTATTGATTACAAATTTAGACGATATGAATTCTGAATCTGTTTCCTGTTTTATTTTCTTGAGTGATTGGGTTTTATAACGAATAGTCTATAATAAGTTTATAAGCTTCGTTTATTCATGATACCAATAGTCCCGGAAGGATCTCGGTTTATACATTTCTCATACATCAATGCCACTCTTATTTACACATTATTTATACTCAGTTAAACGAATAATTATAGTATTATCTATTGGTAACCTTTAGTATACATATTAGTATACAAGCATTTTTGAAAAATGTTTATTTTGGAAATAAAAGACGACGCGTTACCCGTTATTGTGTGATGAGCTAGTATTATTTAAGCCAACATTCCCATCCAAGCTCTGTTCCCACGCAAACATGTGTTATATTTTATGACTAGTCAATTCAGACGTGTTTTTTTTTTTCAAGAAGCAAATAGCGTGGCTAGATATTGATGATGCCTGTGAACGTGTTTGGGTTAGTTGGTACTTAACTCGAGTTAGTTGTAGCTACCTCGGGTTAGGTCGTACCTGAATCGGGTTAGTTCGTACTTAACTCGGGTTAGGTCGTACCTGAATCGGGTTAGTTCGTACCTGACTCGGATTAGTTCGTACCCGACTCGGGTTGGTTCCTACCTGACTCGGATTAGCTTGTACCTGACTTGGTTTCCTTACAGTGCCATATGCATCAGTTTGTTTGTTGAACAAATTGTAATAACTGTTACTTATTGTAATAACTGTCACTTTTATTCAGCTTGCTTCTGTTATAAAATCTGTCCCATATCTCATTTGGTATATTTTGCTAGGCTCTCCCCAGAATGATACAAATCTGTTCATTTGATGGTTATTTTGATTTTTTCCAGATAGTCACGGGGGTCAACATCAACAAAAACCAAGAAATGTATTGATTTATACTTAGTATGTTTCTGGTCTTGCTTACTGTCTAAATTTTCAGTAGAAATAGTTTTCTTTGGAATTAGGCAAACCTTTACCATAATAATCAGGTGACCATATCAGGTGACCATATCAGGTGACCATATCCTTCGTTCTAAAATTTAACAAAGTTAGCGAAATCAAGCTATAAGAAGGAGTGAATTGTTTACCTAGTAAATGGATGAAAGGTACTGTGTGGATAATGAAAGGGACTTATCATTCCCTGCATATCGCGTCAACACAAACATCTACAATCTAACTTGCTGGTATTAATTTTTTGTAAATTTTGCTTCACATTTTCAGATTCTATGCCATTGTTGCGCTAATATCACGTAGATGCGACACGAATATGAATATCATCTTTAAAGGATGGTGGTCGTGGCACTGCGCATGTGCGACATTTGTGTTGATAAACATTTATTTTCCTACAATCCAGTACGCTCTTCTAATGAAAATCACAAGTATGAGATTTGACCTGGGCGCGACTTGCACTAATTACAGCCGGTGGCTCCTTCGATACCTTCCAATCACCTATAAAAATGCTTAATTAAAGCTTGGTAACGTCTCAGTTTGTACTAGTCAATCTGCGCAACAGTCAAAGTCGCCATCTTTATTTATATGAGACCCATATAGCTCGCGCATGCGTGGCGCGTCGACTACCGCCCTTTAACTAAAGATACTAATGTTGTGATGTTATACTTATGTTATTCATCGTTAAGCTAGAGGGCCTTATCGCGGAGTTCTGGGAAAATAAAATCGACATCCCAATTTGTAACGACAAAACAGTGGTTGTTACATGCTGCGATGACCTTACTGCTCCGCATCTCACTCGTTACTGACATAGAGTGGTGTTCAGCTTGCAAATTCACGCATCACAATATACGGGAGTATGCACACGTGATATAACGGCAGAAATATACAGGGCAGGTGTGAATGCAAAATAGAACGGTTGATGCGGTCACCTAGAAGGAAATCTACGTCGACTGGGCGTGTGCAGAAAGCTAAGTAGAGCATTAAAATGAAACCGGAAATCAGGGCGGCACAATAGAATAAAAAACGTTTCACTGAGTCGTCGATTAGAAAAATAATACTTGAAATTGTAACACAGTCCTCCATCATGACGAGTATATCGTTTTTGATGACTATAATATTCAGTGAATTATTGTTATTCATATTTCTGCACTCATGTTAATTTAGATAGCTATTTTGATTTGACAAGTTGTACGTCGAAAAATTCAGTTGTTATCGCTCCGCTTGGCTTGAAGTCAGTAATATATATAACACTAGCGCCCTCACGAGATTGCTTAACGGAGATTTCTGTTAATTTAAATTTAGGTCAATAGTGTGGTTTTATTTTTCAGCGTTGCCATAGTAACAGTTCACATCAGCACATGGCGACATGAGATGTCGAATGAACAGTGTGTGTTATACAAATGTATATATGTGTGTATTGTTGATGAACACGTATCGTGGTTCAACGACATGTGTGTCTTGCATGTGTACACCCTTCTCAGCCACTAGACACTAATACTGTAACAGAAAAAATCATATATTTCAGTCACTGTGCATCCGTGAGTTGTCTGGGACATTATTAGTCAAATGATTATGTTAAATTATAGTTTGATACAAACGATCGTGTAAGTTTGCAAAATTGACAGGTGGCTCGGTATTGCACACATCCGGGTCATACACCAACCGAAACTTCTCAGTAAGCGTGACCACACACTACTGTTCTATATCGACTCTGCTTGTTCGGTCTTCATGCTGGTGGAACGTCGATAGTATTCGCAATTATAGTACAATTCATTTCATTTGAAGGCTCTGTGGCGTTTGATGCATTTTCGTTTAATGAGTATTTATGATATTTCATTCTGGTTGGATATCAATACGCATCGCGAATCAGTGAATTATGATTCATCTTAAATTTAACAACAAATTCGAATACGGCTTAAGTATCCATATATAAACAGTGTGTTCGCAATGTATCCATTTGACTTGAATCTGTTTATTCATTATGTCGTAATCAGTTGTGATTTGGCTAATAACTCAAGCCGGTAGCGATGCCTAATCCACTGGAGCAATAGGCCGGTGAAATGATTCCGCTACGTACAAATATGGCGTGTTTGAACGGCGCGCAATTACTTAATTAGTACAAACGATGCTGAGTGAGTAGGTTGGTTTACATACATTCACTGTCGTCTGCGCGAACTCCTAATGCTTTCAGGTTCAGATTAAAATGCTCATGGAAGTAAAAAGAGAATTTACCTTCCTAATACTCTGACGATTATGTACTATATTGTTCTTCGGAATTCAATTATTATAAATACATCATATAAACATACACATCGGTCAATTTATAATGTAATTATTAAGAACTGGAGGAAACACTTGCTATGCTTCGTTAACGGATGTGAACGTGTACGTGTACCGCATATAATACCCCCAACATACACACACACACACACTCACCCGATATGTATCATATTAAACCAACCGCACCCATAATAATTCATCAATATGCAATTAGCAGTATGGATGTAAAAATAAGAAATGAGGATGAAAAGGGGTCGGAACTTATATATTTATTACTGAAACGTCACGTAATTGTATGAGGGGCCAGGTGTCGTATATACATGTGACAACAGAGTATAATCCCTGGTGAATCATTGCTTGAAAGTAACGGACATTATCGTGCTTCTTAAACCCTAGATATCTCATTATAATCCAGCCGTATTGATGCCGGTCAGATAAGCGTATTATAAAAACCGTTATATAAAATGGGGACAATTTAACTGTGGGTTATTATTGTATTATTAGGGGGTGTAGATTTTTAATTTATCTTATTTATTTTAGTGGAGAGTGGGAGAACGAGATTTACGGTGAGAAATAGAAAAAAAATCGCGTACTTAAAATGAATGAATGATGTGGGGAGGCCGGGTCGCTGTACGATGGGCATTCCTTGCTGTCATCGTACAGCGCTGTAGCGACGTTCATTATAATCAGATCCATCAGAGGCCGACGTACCGGAAATTGCGTTTCGACAGTCCGCCATGAAGATATACAAGCATATTTAATAATGTATGCATTCAATGAGTCTAACGATGTATTCAGTGAGCTTGGGGATCACTAAAGGTTTTCGCCAACTTGAGAGCGCCGCGCTGAATAAACAGGCTTATATACCGGCGAACCGAACCTTAGCAAGGTACACTCTATATAAAGAACGAAATGAAAACATTGGGAGGGATCACCTCACGTGGGAATAAAAAGCAGTTAAACATTTGAGGTTGAGTGTCGTGGTGTCGACTGGGAAACCAATAAATGTGACTCTCCGTACGTAATTAACATAATCATGAAACATCAATGATAAAACGTGAAAAGCAGTAGTTATGCGTCCGCGCTGATTAAATTTCATTGTTTCAGCTATTATTGTCACAGACACCGTTGACTTCGATATCAATTAATAATTTTTCTCGAAAATTGTAATTCATACATTTGGCGGTGATTATAAACTGCTACGCTACGCCACACTCATGTACTACTTGTATAATTCAGATATATGGTTGGGCTTACCTTTGTAGCCACGGACGTGTAATACGATCCACATTTTGAGCAAATTCTGCGCTCACAGTCTCCGCACACGATACCGGGGTCAATTCCCGCTGCTTCTAGCTGTTGTGGAAACATGGGTATTTCGGTTGTTAGACAAATTGGACATACGTCCGTCTTGTCTAGCTCTGTTAACGACGACCGGCGTATGATATTCTCGGCAAATGTGGTATACTCGGTTTCAAGCTCCCTGTAGCATAAAAATAACAAATAAAAACACAATTTTTGTGTAATCTTTTTTGTCTTGTTTAAAACCTAATCAGATGACATGGAAGGGAACTGAATGACTATTATACCGATACGCCGATCCGTATGTTTCTATCTCACGTCAATTTGTCGGGGTGGGGTTCACTAAACGACTCAAGTACATTTTCTTCATTAATAACTAAATAGACACTTTTTTAAAATTTATAGTATACGTACCGGACACGTTGTTCTTCGCGGTCCTGTAGCAGTCTTGCTCTCTCCAGCACACTTGCAATGTGTGCACGCTCCTCCTCCGTGAGGTGGCTAAGATCAGCTTCCGGGGGTTCCATGGGTACCGGCGAAGAAGCCCTACTAGAGGCTGCTGCTACCTGCGAATAAAGGCTGTAGATATCCGAGTCCGCATCGAAATCCGTAGTGGTATAGCTTGCTGAATCGTCACCGCTGGCCTGGTTACCCATTTCTCCAAACCACGGAGTTGGTACGTGGCGTACCAATCCGCATAATACTTATATTTTACGTTTACAGCGCAAAACGGAGACTACAATTAGGAAATAAGAAAAGCTGACATGATCGTTGTAAAGGCGTTTACATCTCCTGGAGTCCGTCATGTTGAAGATTACGCTGAAACTGCTCGATTCTATGGTATAATTGTGGCACTGTACAACACACACCCTATATTCGTAGTCGGTAAAATCGGCGCTATCACATCTTGTTTGGTACTGTCTCGTTAAAAAAAAAAAGGCGAATTATGATAACATTGCTGAACGGAATGAATAAAGCATAGAACGTTTCCCCTGCGAGTCCACGAACGAAGTGAGAATATCTAAAAATGTGGATCATTCCATTCGAGTGTGGGGTGCATGTCGTGACTTCCATGGCGGCCCTTTTAACGGAGTGTGTTCGATCGATAAAAATTTAATTTAGTATATCATTCGTGATGAAATTAAACTAAACCGTTGCTATGAATTTTCATCATCCCCCCCCCTGTCAATATCGAATGGAAATCAACCATCGTTTTGTTGTGCAGCCGCGGCTGTACGAACACAGAGCAGGTGGTCGTATTGTACTGGTTATCGAAATACTGTCTTATTTCCCAGTGCATGGCGGTGAATGAACGGAACGGCGACGCAGTGTACATATCATAACCTACCAAACTAGAGCGCCACTTATTGTATGGTTTATAAACTACAAAACTCGACAGCTGTTTGATGTCACATGGCAGCCGACGAAATATACTCGGCATTGAACATGAGTGTCGCACATTTGTATTCAATGTAGCGAGTTTCACGAGTGTCGAGGCCTGTGAAGGTTTTATACGTTACACAGGAATGGGGGACACTATTCACAATAATACCCGGCTATAAAATACACTAGTACAGTTTGGCATTGTGATTTCACGTGTTATCATCATTAGCTAAATATTTTAATCAGATGAATATGTAATTTCTTTAAATTGAATAAGATACCCGATTCAAGTTGAATTGAGCGTTCAATTCAAGTTAAATCAAATCAACTCAAATAAATTCATTTTTTTAATTGACATATGATGTGCGTTAAAGATTTGTACTATTTTTTTCAAACCGAGCAATGAATTTAATGCAATTCAATTCAAAGTTCAAATCGGATTTTCAGTTCAACTCAATTCAAATTGGGCAATGAATTCAATTCAAACCAGGTATTCAATTCAACTCAATTCAAATTGTGCAATGAATTCAATTCCAACCGGATATTCAATTCACTTATTGAACATGGTGTGGTGCGACGACTGTAGAGCTTTAAATTCAATTCAAATCACAATTTTTTTTTAATTAACAGTTTTTTATTGTGTTATGTGGTTGTACGGCTTCACAAAACATAGCCTATACATTAGATCATATTTTTATATTTTGGTCAAACCAAATAAGTCAAATAGTATCATAAAACTTAGCTTTAAATGATCAAACGTGATAATACTATATTTTGGTTGACAGCGGACAGTTTTCGTTCAGCACTGACAGGAAAGCACACTTGCGTTGTTTCAAACTGTACTCTCTTAGTTTGTTTTCACGTGATCCATGTGAGTACTACTTGCCCCTCACTATTTAAAAATGGGTCGATTAGAACCTACGATTTGCAGATCGACGAGCTGTGTTGTTGCATGGTCACAATGTATCAATGTATAAAACAGTGTGTGTGGTGAAGGGCAATTCCATACTCATAATGGCCTTATATTGTACTTGAAATGTAGGTACAATGTTGTCATTTCGAATTTGTGATCGACACACAATATTTAAAACAAGTTATATTCAGTATGCATATGGAGTGTCATTGTATTACATAGCATTGTTACTGTTTTTAGCCCTTGCTGTTTGGACAAGTCGCCGGGGTTAGCAGATACGAAGGCATCGTAGTTTTAGCTTTGGTAGGATTGTTAAGCTTGTATGCAGTCATCATATAGAACAGTTTTAGATTGAGCTAGGACATTGAAATATATTTGTATGATTCTTTATCGTGTGTGGGAAAGGTAAACAATGGGTAATCGCCCAATTTCGGGTGGGTTTGAAAAATACATGAATTAAAGCGACAAATTATCTCATTTTCCCGCCAAAATATTTTGTTTTGCACAAACAATTGATTGTAAAAAAGTTCATGTAGTTTTAATGTAGAATCCAAATATCAAAATTATATATAAGCATACATGCACATTATGTCTGGGCACACAAATAGTCAATACTATTAGACTAATAATGTAGAAACTTGTGTAAGTAAATTGCGGTTCTATGTTGCAATGTTTGTTAAATGTTGACGATGTTGATATTATTGTTCGTTAGTGAAATTCAGAACGAGAAGGTTGCCATTTGTGACCTTTAAACCCTATGAAATACAAGATGGCGTCCAAGATATCCGTATATAACCTATACCAGAGGTACATTACTTGGGGTTTGCAACGCGCATAGTACTGTACATGCCACTAATTAACCAATGGCTGCAAGAACCAATGACATTTTTTAAATATTTTTTTTTCTCAGGTGCTCCCTGTTTGAGGGCGTAATTACCTTGGTCAAAGGTGAGACCAACATGTGGTCCTTTGGTTACTACTTAGCGGCTGTGTACCTGTGGGTTTATTCTGTGTGTATTTGGATGTTCTAATATTGGTGTTTTTCCAGTGAATTCTCTAGGTGCAATCCAAATACAGTAGATGTTGTCTTGTTTACCTGAGATTTGTAAGAGTTTGAGCTGGCCAACATGTTAGTTTTTTTTTCATATGGTTGATTACTGGCATGTTGATTTCCCATTTTTAATCCATGTTTTCAACTTTCTTCATCATTTTCATATAGCAATCTCGTCATATGTTAACATTGTCGTCTATGGAAATTTAATTAGCGGTATGAGCCCTGTATGGTGACACCATACCAAGATCCCATTCAAGTCTCATCTCGTAGATAGCGAGACTCATGTTATGACCCTCTGACATGACATAGGCGGTTTGTAATAAAACATTCATAGTGAAAAAATGTAATACATCGAAAATGTACAGAAAATATAGTTATTGTAATCCGTCATATCGTGAGTAGCTATTTTGATCCACCTGGACATCACAGTATTCTAGTTACCTCGGGCATGCGCATTCGCATTTTTCTGAGTTGGAACGCTTATGCGAGAGCGAGTTTGAAATGAGATCTTAGTATCATGTCACCGTAGTTGCAAACCCCAAGTAATGTACCTCTGCCTATACACACTGACATATTGCTACAATAATTGTTAAAAAAATTAAAATGAGGTGTACATTTCAAGAAATGAATATTCACTAATTCTGTTATCGTACCCAAAAATATGCAAAGTATCACTCGGGACTTCTAGAGCTGCATGACAACATACTAGTCAAAGATTTTTGCTTAAATCTTAACGATTAGGCATCCATGTAAAAAAAACGGAAAACGTGGCGCTGCTGGCTACGAGAGAAACTGCAATACAGTATTTGATGTCCATCGCTGCAATGTATGGGTGCTACATCTGTAATACACGGCAAGCTATCTGTCATTGATTTATAAGGCGAGAAGAAGCGACATGTTTGTAAACAGCGCCCCCAGGCAAATATGCACATTCAATGTTTCAGGGAGGAATTGTGATGATTTGAATTTGTTTTCATGAAAAGGAAATACTTTTGACTGGGTTATTTGTATGTAAACGTCGTAGAAAAGCGATGTGGTTTCAGTACTTCGCATATGGTACCAGACAACCGACCTATTATAATATTCGTCGGAAGCGTATAATATAGGTCACCACAGAACATGTACCCCGCACCAGAACCCAACGCTACCACCCCCTCCAGACCCACCGCTACCACCCTCTTCCAGACCCACCGCTACCAACATTTGAAACAAACTAATTAACACGAAGATCTATCGAGTACATTTTAAACAAACACAAATCTGAACGCGAGGTAAAAATCAACTCACCTTGTTCATGATAATTAAACAGTGGGGCATTACACTGGTCCATCTGTTTCCAACAAGGACATGTGTGATACCGTCCTCGTTATATACTAATATATGCTACATCAATTACAAATCATCTATATTATTACTAAACCAGTAGTCGCATTTGTTTCCATGGAATCGTATTAAATCCGTAACATCGGCGACAATAACCTCGTTAGATCACTAAGCCACTGAGTCATCGGGATGACGGTTATTCATAATAATGTCCACCGATGTACACACGATTAACTCTTATATTTTATTTGTCAACCACGTGTCACCTACTGTTAAATAATAAAGAACGTTTAGTATTGTACTAGTATATACATATCTATATCCCGGCGTTGAGGGCAGTATTAAGGTCAGACGCAGGCACATAGTTTGCGAGAGAAACATTTCCTGAAATTAATACTGTTAAATGCATTAATTAAACGCTGGTTTTTAATTTCGCAATTTCGCTGATAAGTAAAATCCGTTAAATTAAATTCACATGAATATGTAAAATAACAACATACAAGTCATCGTTTCTCTGTCAAGTCTGTGAAGTTAAAGCCTAATTGCTCAAACATCGAAATAGTGAAATTACTAGTAAGTGCCAGTGAAAATAAATGCTTTTACAGTACATGTTGTACCCTGTGAATGGATATTTGAAAATCAAAAACACTTAACCAAATTATTTTTTTTGCAAATTATGAACATCATGTGCATGTATTTTCCAAAAAATGTTAATTCAAATTCGCCACCATCGATAACGACTTAACGCCGATGGAAACCGCTCTAATTGTTTCTATGGAAACAAATTCAAGTACCTTACAGATTTTTTTAATGGAACCTTTCGGTCAGCGCAGTGATTTTTAATTTACCTCGACTTTTTCGACTAGTTGTTACGATATGGATTATGAAGCTGCTTGTGGCAGAAACATAACGACGGAGTTAGGCTGTTTCTTTCTTTTTA